AAATGCAAAGAATAAATCATCTACAATCACATAATAATTGGTCAAATAATTATGGAAACATTCAAATCATATAAATCAAACATTTGTCCAATCGAAACTAATGTTGAATTTATGAAATAACGGAAATTTAAATCATCAAAAGGTTCATCAAATTCCTAATGAACAAAAACCCTAGCCTATAATCATCATTGCAAAATCAAGAAATTGAAAAACGAAATTAAAAGATAATAAGAATACACCCGTATGGAATTTCTTCAATCCGTCTCGAGCCCGTGTGAAATTGAATCCAAAATCAAGTTTCTTGCCTCCAATTTTTGGCCTCTTCTTTCTCCCTGGTCGTTCTTTTCCTTCATATGATGAATTTGGGTATTTATATCACTTCCAAATTAAGTAGGAAAGGAGTTTCAACCAAAACGAAAAACTGCGCCCGAGGTTTCAGAAACGAACTATGCGACCGCATAGAAGGAATCTATGCGGTCGCATAGTTCAAATTATTTGGGCTCATTGAACCCCTGAAGCCTTCTATGCGACCGCATAGAAGGTTACACTATGCGGTCGCATAGAAGTAACCATCTATGTGGTTTGTTCAATTTGGTCCCTGAACTTCTTTGTTGCTTCTCTTGACTTCTTTCTTCGATTTCTTCATCTTTTCAACAAATTTTATCTTCCAATTGATGATTGATACCATCAATTCTCATGCCCCTCATTCGGCACATCTTTTGAGTATTTGCGCTTTAGTCCTCCAACTTTCAATTGTCTTCATTTCAGTCCCTCTTCAATATTTTCTTCTTCCATTTGTTTTGCTTTGTCATTGAGCTCATACTTGGCATGTTTTCACTCTCGTTTTGCATTTAACTCAACTTTTCAATATTTGCACCTTTGGTCCTCGAACTATCAATTTGTTGCGTTTTGGTCCTTCTTCGGCTCTTTTCTCCTGAATTCCACAATTTCCATTGAATTACCTACAATGCATGAATTTAACTGGATTAAGTCACAATTCAACCATTTTATCCATATTTAAGTCATGTTTATGAACCGAATAAGTGTGTAAAAACACACTTATCAAGGTCAAAACCAGAATCTACATTATATGGTGCAGGATTGAATAATATCAGATTGCTTGTCCACAAATTAACTTGAAATATATTGTAATGAATTCAACATATAAATGAATGATTCCAAGTTATAGAATCGCTACCGATTCTGTTATAACATACAGATTCATTACACATGAATTTCTCTAATTAAAATGTTGTAATAGAACACATTTATCAGAATCATGATATGTCAAAATTCTGTCTTATAATTTTATTCATGCAGTATCTGGCTTTCGATTGCAAATAAAATATAATATGCATAAGAAAATTCATCTTAAGATTGTTGGGGAATACACCGATTATGTGCATATTATATTCAAAAAAGATATACCATTTATGTTCATGAAATCGAAACAAGGTTTCGACTTACCGAAATAGAGTTTGAGAAACTAACCAATAATTATTGAATCTGACCATTTTCATTCTTGAATTAAAACATGTGATTCTTCATATCAAACCTTGCATAAACCATATAAATAAAATTAATCATTTTCTAAAATCAAGTAGAAATGAAATCAGAAAAAATTAGATGTAAGTGATGCGATTGGTCGAGGCAAGTATAACTCTTTCCTTAAGATGAATTTGCCTCGTATCGGTGCTAACGATTTTTCGACAATCATCTCCCAAGATACAATAACCACGTCAAGCCATAGAAGCACTCCAAATGACTTCGACCAGCGAACTCGAACGGAATTTCCTCTCTACCAAGGAAATGTATGAAAATGCTATGGAATTAGAAAGGAGAGAATTGCAAGAGGAGAATGAATACTCAATGCAATTGGTGTACCCAAAATCATGTCCATATGGTCATATTTATAGATGTAGAAAGGGTGTAAATGAAGTAGTGTGGGCCAAAACATGCATCCTTTCGAAAAGTTGCAACACTTAGCCAAAACCTGCATCCTTTCGAAAAGTTGCAACACTTCATTTCTTCCAATTTTGGTCCGCAATTTCTCATTCATCCGAAATTGGTTTCGAGATTTCAAATATACCAAGACGATCTACTTGATGAGTAAAATAAGTTGGTCTATTTACTTTTGTAATTTGACCATCGGATTAAGTCCGAATACTTGGTCGAAATAGACACCTAGTCACACCTTTTCATTTTCCAATTTTTTGTTAATTATTTGAACCAATTCCTACAAAGTGGTAAGGGTAGGGAGGTCACTATTTTATGTAGGTCAGCCTACGACATGACATGTTCCATTTCAAGTCAAGTCGATTTCTGGGTATGGCCACTTACTCAAATTTAAACGTCTTACGGAAGCGTTCCTTCTCCTAATATATATTGATTCATGACTTAAAATTAAAGAGGGTTAATAATTAACGATGTTGTGTTATAGAGATGAAATGCGAAAACTTGTTATAGAAGACAATCTTTAAACGATAGTACCAATGTATCATTGCAAATATAATTAAGAATAAATTTATCGAAAGAAGTTTCGTACTTATTACCAACCATTCCTTAACAATTGTTTTCATACTAAATAAATCATCAATAGAAGGAGAGGAAGGACCCAAAAAAAGTTGACAAGTCTAATTCTAAAGCAATCTGCACTAATGAATAGTGGGGTCATTCTCGCTCATGCTCTCAAATCCATTTGTTCTTTTCATTATGCCATGTTAATCACTTTAGCAAATCACATATTCTTTTATCCTACTTTATTTTTAAACAAACTTTCGTCGTGCCTTGATCCCAACTTCCGAAAAGCCTCAACCTAATGCATACCTCTTAGAATTTGTGTATTTTCCAAAAGTATTTGGTTATAATCTCAAATTGATTGTTATTCGTTGGAAGTGTGTGCAGCAGAACATGATCTGATTAGTCCTCTAGCCCCAAATTTGTGATAATTCCACGATATTCAATGCTCACGTTTTGTGGATGTCACTTAAACAATCGCAATTATTCAATTCTAAACCCTCATCGTGGAATTTATATAACATAGAGAGAAAAAGATTTTAAGAATTATTTATTCTTGTTTGACTATTGCTGTCTAGGGGGGTGTCAACAAGTAGAGCCAGCTTGCGAGTTGAAAATCGAGACTCGAGCTTTTTAAAGACGGTTTTTTTTTTTTTTTTTTGTCCAAGCTGAGCCGAGCAAAATCTCGGCCAAAAAATCGAAGCTTGGCCCAAGCTTTCGACTAGGGTCTTATAGAGCCGGCTTGAACTTTTTTTTCCCTCCCTTATGAAGGCAAGCTGCCAGTTGCCTTTTAGCACGTTGCCTATCACAAAAAGGTAGGCAGCTCTCTCTCTTTCTTTTTTTTCCCGAGCCGGCCCACGAGCCAGGCCTGCTCGGACTTTTTGCGAGCTGAGCCATGGACGATCCATGCCCGCGATCCAATTTCTCATCCCTATTGCCGTCCTATTTTTAATAGGACCACATATAGGCCTCAGGGAATCGACTAGGATTCTTTTATATGCCTGTAATTTGGTTGGTCCACATGGACAAAATTAAATTAATGTCCAAAATCTCTCACTCTTACATAGTGGTTTTTAAAGCATATATCTCTATCATCATCCTACCATACGCCCTGTTTATACTCAGTAGATGAGTTGTATGACCATCGAGCTACTTGTACAAAAAGGTTTGGGAGACTATACTAGAACTCATCAAGACCAACATAGAACATCCTCGAAAGTGTGTCATTATGCCACATACCTATTCAATCACATCGAATTTATCGTCTCCAACCATTTGAGTAATAAGTTGGAGCAATGGTAATATTTTCTATACCTAATTTTACGTCGGTAATTTTGTTGCAACACCCATAAGCAACATAATTGGTCGACCATGAACACAAACCACATATATGTTACCGAATAGTCTTCTAATAGCCCTCATATCACTCAGCTTTAGTTTAATTGCTTTTCCAACATTTCCCCATTAGATTGAATCAAACATGACCATAGGAAATATGCTAGTGTGTCATACATTACATTTCCATGTTGTAACATAGTCGAAAGTCACATAAGGCATGATGAATGTGTGATCGTTTTAACAACAAATAGATCAAGCAATAACAAGTATTTTTATTTTATGTTTTTCCAGTTGAGTGGTATAGCAAATAATATTTTATATAAAAATATCAACTTCATATCATTGTGTAAAATTCAAGGGTACTTTGATATGAGATACGCATATTGATAATTTTGAAGTCTTACTTTCATGATGTCACACAAGCAACATCTAATTCACATGCCTCCAAAATCACACACGATGTTTGCCTATTGTAGTAATTGACTAATTTTTTTCCCAAGTCACTGCTTGATTTTGAAATAATACATTTTCAATTGAAATAATGTTATTCATCTAGAGTGATGATGATCATCAATCCATTTGACCTTGACGTTTAAGATGCAATCCAAGTTCATTGAAAAACGTGACAGTGGTCAAACTATCATGTAAATTGTTGGTAATCACGACTCTAGATAAATAACATTATTTTTCGATTTAAATAGGATTTGTTTGGTTTTTGAAAGTTTGGGTGGACGATAGCACTATAGCACAAGACTAATCTGGCAGGGGCATACAAGTTGATAGCATGATTGGATCATGAAACAAGGCTCGTGCCAATCAACTTTCTTTCAATATAATTCAATTTGTTAGGCATGAAAGTAAAGACCAAGAAATTAAAGAATCTCAGTACTCACTTGTGACAGCATTTTTCAAAGAGAAGAAAAAAGGTATAATGCTTCAAAAAATAAACATAACAACTGGTAAAGAATAACAAATAACAACAAGTAGCTCAAGAAAGCTGTCCCCTTGCATTCACCCCACCCCAATTTCTCATTTCTTTTAAGAACTCATCCCAAATCAAAACTGAACTGAACCCTTAAAAGATTATACATTCACATTTCCTCAAGCACAAGATCTGAACCAAAGAAGGAACAAGAGTATACACCATGAAAGGCAGAGAAGGCAAAGGACCTCCTTCAGCAGATTTGTTGGTATGTTTTCCTTCTAGAGCACATCTAACCCTAATGCCAAAGCCCATTTGCAGCCTCGCTAGGCCCAACTCAGAACACAACAAGCGCCACCACCACTGTCCACGGCTCCATCAGCACCTGAGGAAATCTAGTAATAGAGGTGTTGGCGCCGTCCATGCTAGTCCTCACACGTGGGCAAAAAACAAGGCGACAAGTTCTGAGATTGAAGAACCCACGTCCCCGGAAGTCACATGTGCTGGACAGATTAAAGTAAGGCCTAAACCTAACACATGCAAGAATTGGCAATCGGTCACGGAAGAGATTGAAAGGTTACATATCAGCAAGAAACACAAGAAAAGACCTGCTTGGATTGAAGCACTTGGGTTCAAGAAAGATATAATGCAATTCTTGACATGTTTACGTAGCATTCGATTTGATTTTCATTGCTTAGGTACGTTCCCTACGGCAGATATAACCTCAGAAGACGACGATGATGAAGAAGGAGATGATGACCAAAGGAAAAATGATGAGGATTGTGAAACTTCAAGAACTATATTCTCCAAATGGTTCATGGTTTTACAAGAAAATCAAAGCAAACAGTTCACAGAAAAGGATAGCAAGGAGAAAATGAATAAATCTAGTACTGATGATGATGTGCCTTGTGCACCACCACCAAATGCACTTCTGCTCATGCGTTGTCGATCTGCTCCTGCAAAAAGTTGGGTGGAGGAAATAGAAGCAGATGAAAAAGAAAATGATGAACAAGAACAGGAAGATGAAGAAGAAGACGAAGAAAAACTAACCAAGGTAAAAGAAGAAAACACAAAGAGGAAAGAAAATTTAGTATTGATGCAATATGGAGCAGATTTTTACAAAATTTCTTCTGATATTGCAAAGGAAACTTGGGTTGTGGGAGGAATTAAAGATTCACTATCAAGAAGTCCCCGTTGGAAGAGATAATATACATGAAGATTGATAGAGGTTAGTATTTTGCAATATTTTATTCTTATTAATTTACTAAATTTAATTTTGCTTTATATTGATGTCAGATGAAGTTGAAATTGATTTCTTTTTCTTTAGTTCTGTGTTGGGAAATCCTGATCAAAATTCCATTATTTGGGCTTGAGGCTTTATAATTTTGTATTTTCAATTTGATCTGAATAACATGTACAGCTGTATATGCTTTAAAAAATTTTCATTTCTAATTCCCAGTTAGTATATAAACTTGATATCCTTGTGTGCGCTGGGTGTGTGCATATTGTGTTGCATGATTTGGAGTATCAGATTGAGAAATTAGTGTTTAAGTTGGGGAGCTTCACAGAGTTCGTACACAGATCGAGGCGAAACTCTAAAATATCGTTCGTTCTTATTTATTTATTTATTTTCTTTCTGCTATTTTATTGCTCGCCATAGTAATTTCAAATTCTCAACACTTAGTTGTTGGTAAAAATAAGAATAAAAAAATTACGCTAATCACTAGCACTGTCTACCCATAAGCAACTAATGATTCTGATCTCAAAACGAGCAAAATATTCGTAGTATAGAAAACATAGAACTATTTTAAACTAAGGCGAAAAACATGCATTGGATTGCAAAGTTGAATTGATATTACCTATAAATTAGAGTCCTCATAGTGTTCACCAAAGTAGCTATGTGTTTAATCTTTACTTTCAAAAGTAAAAGCAAAATTCAAAACTTTGAAATGGGATTGTGTTGATTGATATAATGCCTTAAAAAAGAATTTTAGGTGTATGTCCATAAATATCAATCATTGTGTCCCTTTTGTATAATTTTCAACCATTGATTAAGCTTTTAAAATTTGGCTGTATCGTGCTCTTTATGGTGTACTTAAATATACAAATTTTATACTGTTTAAAAAATTTAACAAATAAAATTTGGTTTTAACACCACAAGTGTCTTGTAAGTTATGAATTATTAGAGTGTGTTTGATAGGGTGGAAATGCAATTGAAAGGTGGAATTGGAATTGAATTTTCCCACTTTAAGTGTCTGATACAATTTTTTTCCATGAAATTCGAATTCTAGGTTGTCTTGAAGTTTGGAATTTTCTTGGTTTTTAAGGAAAACCAATTCTCATTATATATGGTGGGAAATTGGTTTTCCTACCTACTGTAGCACTTTTTTTTTTTTTTTTTTGTTGGCAATGGAAACAAATTTTAAAAATTATTGTAAAAAAATGTTTCCCTTTAAATGCAATTTTCATGTAAAACAAAGTCAAATGAATACCAAAAGATAGATGATTTTCTTGAACTTTTTTTTTTTTTGGTTGGCAATGAAAACAAATTTAATCCCCAATACCAATAAAATATATCCCTTTAATTGACAATTTTCATGTAAAACAAAACAAAACGAACACCAAAAAATAATTTTATTTCAACATTTTCCACGTGAAAAATTATACCAATCAAACACAATAATTTACAATTCTCAGGAAAACAATTCTAGACAATTCAATTTCATCTTTGCAATACATATATTCTATCCATACATATATGCTATTTACCTTGACAGAAAGGATGAAATTTGAAATGTTAGTGATTAGTACTTTATTAAAAAATTGAAATTTTAAATTTTTTTTAAAAAAAAGGATAAACGGTGAAATATAATTCACTAGTCAAAATTTGTAAAACAATGCGTAAGATTTGGGCCGTTGTATAGCTGTTACATTTTCTTTGGTCAATTTGGGCCAGCTTTTGATATTAGAAAATAGTGAAAAGGAAAAAAATTATATGTAAGAGATTAAAAAGTACGATACATTTCAAAATTAAAAAATAAAGATTAAAATTTTGAAAATCAGATTTTTTAAAATTTTATTTATGAACTGATTAATTAAACATATATTTTATTAATTAAATATATTAAAGTCACAATTCTATACAATTTGGTCACAAATTATAAATTAATTGATTATAAATTATTTTTCGATCCCAATAAAAATTTTATAAGTCACAAATTATTTCACGATCACAAATCAAATATTTTATAGGTCACAGTTTATTCATCGATCACAAATTTATCAAATTAATATGTCACATATTATTCATTGGTTACAAATCACAACTTATCTTATGGTAAAAAAATATCTAATAATTTAGTATGAGACTTTTCGGTCACTACTTATCAAATTATTGGTCACGACTCATTTCTTGATCACAAATAAAAAAATTTATAGGTCACTGATTATTCATTGATGACAAAATCTATTTTTTTAATGATCGTGAGTGTCCGGACCAGTTTACGTGCACATCGACTAATTCCATGAATAGGGATGTCAAAAGGGCCGAGCCGCTCGGCTCGTTGAAATAGAGCTTGTGAACGGTTTGGGCTCGTGGGCAACTCGGCTAGTAAAATCACGAGCCTGAGCGCGAGCTGAGTGGGCCTCGTCGGAAGGCGAGCTGACACGAGCGGCTCGTTTCAGCGACGAGCCACGAGACTCGTGGCTAGAAAACTATAGTGACCGTTTTGGTCACTTTTTCAATGACCGTTTGGTCATTGAAATTTTTTTCCCTTATACTATAAATATCCCTTAACTCCCTTTTTTTCATATCAATTATCTCCTCTCAATCACTATTTTTCATTTCTCAACTCTCTTTTATTATATCAATTATCGAGTTTTTATTCTCTTGTGCTGCAAAATATACAATATCGATTCATTTTTTTTTTACAGTTTATTCAGTTACAATTTCAATTCATCCAATTTTCACAATCTCACTACATTTATATTTTTCTTGTTATTATATTTGAATTTCATCATAAACAATCAAACAAATGGATCAACGCTCATTCGTTGAGAGCTTATTCGATACGAGATGTGGGCCACATGGCGAATCGCCTATGACGCCGCAAAGTCAATTTCCAAATGAATTTTTCGGTCTAAATGACGTACCCATACTTGAAGATGTTCATATTCACGGTCAGAGAAACCACAATCAATTGATTTGGATGATATTAACATTTCTGAAGCGGAACATGAGGACGAAGATGCGGAATTAAACATCCTAGAAGCGAGGAGAAATTGAAAGGGCAAAAAACAAGCAAAATGTTGGGATCGCTTTAAGTTGATTTTAAAGGGAAAAGTCGTCGATGGCCTTGCAGAATCTAAAGCAGTATGTAAATACTGCCAACAAAGATTGGCATGACAAAAAGGAATTGGTACCACCCATCTCAACCGTCGCTACAAAGCATGTGCGGCCAGACATGGACTTCTTCTAGCTGGTCAAACACAATTACAATTTGACAGTCCAGACGTCGGTTCTACGAGTTCACCCCTATCCACGTGGGTGTATTCGGAGGACATTACTCAAACCGAAATGGTGAAATTTGTTGTCCCCACTGAGTTATCTTTGGCTATTGCAGACAACCAACACTTCGTCTCGTTCGTGAAAGAATATCTGTAACAAAGGTACGTCGGGGTAAGTCGAAACATTCTTCGTGCCGATACAATAGAATATTTCAATAATTCAAAACAACAATTAATTATAAATTTGCAACAATATGGGAGTGTTATATCTTTAACTTCTGATATATGGGAAGGGGTTAATAAAAGAGCATATATAGCTGCAACCACACAATATATAGACCCAACTTTGGTGCATGCATAAAAAAATTATTGCTTTTAGAATTATTGAGTTTCATCACAATGTTAATAATATATATAATGCTATTATCAATATTGTTAGATAATATAATTGCGAGACTAAAATTCGGTCTTTTACTTTTGATAATGCTAGTGTTAATAAGGTAGTCGTCGATAAATTGAGCATGACACTTCAACTTGATTTTGGTGGGTATTTGTTTCATATTCATTGTGTGTGCCATATTTTGAATTTAATTGTGTAAGATGACTTAAAACATATAAAGGATGAACTTCAAAGGATTAGGAATGCATTAGTATTTATTACGATCTCTCATAGTAGAAACAAGCATTTGAAGATTTTTGTGCCGAACTAGGAGTGACGACTGCTAAAATATTTGTTAGCGACGTAGGCCATAGATGAAACTCTACTTACTTGTTATTAAAGCCATGTGAAGATTTCGAACATTTAATAACTGACTTTTATAACAATAGACACGTTAGAAATGATGACGATGGTATGTTGAATGAATCCAATTGGGTTTTAGCTTTGAAAGTTAAAAGGATTTTTTACATCTTTTTACGAGACCAAAAAGATTTTATCCCACGTTTATTATCCCATAAGCTGTATGGTACTTGAACGTCTTTATATAATTGCAAGAACATTCCATAAATATAAAAATGATCCTGCTTTTAATGAAATTATAATTTCTATGAAATTAAAGTTTAGAAAATATTGGGATGAACTGCCTATGTTATTTCCTTTTGCATATGCAATGGACCCCCGATATAATATTTCGGGAACTAAATACGTAATTGATCAAATCAATAAAATCTTAATACTTGATACACCTATCACCTATAAGAATTTAGGACAAACATTATGTGGAATGTATGATTTATATGCGGAAAGAATGGATGCGAATGTTAGTCGGGTACTCTCTGTACCTACTCCTTCGGCTGAAATTGAAGACGATGACGTCGAAATAATGAATTTATTTCAAGGCATTAATACATTTGGATATGATGCAACTGCAATGTGTTCATCTAGTGCCATGTCGTATATATTTGCATCTCATCAAACATCGGCTGCAACTCAAAATGCGATGTCTGTCGAATTAATTGATTACTTCAATCATAATATGTCAATAGACAGAACAATTAAAAAAGTTCAGAAGAAGTAATTGAAATTTGGCGAAAGTATGAAAGACATTAGCCAATTGTTTCTGCAATTGCGAAAGATCTACTGACACCTCCGGTTAGCACTGTTGCTTCGGAGTCTGCTTTTAGTGCAGGTAAAAGGGTTTTGACCGATGTCAGAAGTCGACTGAAAGAAGATATTTTGGAAGCGTTAATGTGTGTGAAGGG